TTTGCTTCTTCTTTCCTTCCTCCTTCCTTTCTTCCTTTCTTCCTTTCTTCCTTTCTTTCTTTCTTTCTTTCTTTCTTTCTTTCTTTGTTTCTGATTTGTTTCTGTTTCTTTCTCTCTTTCTCTGTGTCTTGCTTTATTTCTTTCTTTCGTTATTTCTTTCTTTCTTTCTTTGTTTCTTTCTTTGTTTCTTTCTTTCTTTCTTTCTTTTTTTCTTTCTTTCTTTATTTCTTTCTTTCTTTCTTTCTTTCTTTCTTTCTTTCTTTCTGATTTGTTTCTGTTTCTTTCTCTCTTTCTCTGTGTCTTGCTTTCTTTCTTTCTTTATTTCTTTCTTTCTTTCTTTCTTTCTCTCTTTAACAAGCAGTGTTTGCGTGTGTTTTTCCAACCTGACTTTTGAGAGGTCGGCTTGCTCGTAGGCTAACTGCGTGTCCGGATGGTTGGCTGGTTAGCGTGGTGGTTGGTTAACAAATTGAAGCTTGGAGACATTGGGACCCCCACTCCCCCCCCTGTGCCTTGGACTGTACCGGCCAATGCGTCGACATGATGTGTATAGTAAGAGGAAAACACCTGAGAGCACGATGCAAAGCTGCACCGACACACCTGAGTATGACTGCAAAGTTGCCCCGGCTGCTTGCCTTGTGCGGGCTGCGGGCTGTGGGCTGCGGGCTTTCGCGGTCTCCGCGGCCTCGCCAAGCCGCACAGGCCGCGCAGGCCACGGAGGCTGCGGAGGGCACGGAGGCTGCGGTGGGCAGAAGCGGGTGGCGGGCGAGCGGCTGGCACGGCCGGTGCCACGTTGCGCGCCCGGAGTGGCGTGGTGGGTTGGTTTTGGTTGGGCTGCGTGTGGCGCACGGGAGTTTGCTCGGGCGACTTCTGCAGCCTGCTCAGGCAGTCTGCGCAGCCAGCGCCTGGCGCGGTCTTGCCGGCCTCCGTGCCTGGCGCGCCCTCGACGCCGACTTCTGCGTGGCCGGCGTGGCGTGGTGGGTTGGGTTGGGGTTGAGTTGCGTGTGGACCTCCGTCCTTTGCATGATGTCTGCGGCCAGTCGGCGCGGCCAGTGTTGGATGGCGGGAAGCGGGCGTCGTGTGGGACTGTGATTGCGTGAAGCGCTTCATTTCCAAATCAACAGCGCCCGCCGAGCAGTGCTACAACAGTATGATGAGGCCATTCCACCGGTGCTTTTTGCATTTTCACTGCAGAAGCTGATCGCCTATGCTGGCCCCGAGAGGCCAATCGGACCTGCTGAGCCTCTTGCGCGGCTATATTTCTACTTCGTTCTTCTGCAGATCTTGCGAGCAAGAGGTTCAGCCATTGGCCAACAGAGATACTGCAAGACGACCAGCGCATGTCCTCGACGAAGCCAAGACTGCGCTGGCTAAGATTGATTTGGTTGGATTGATTCATTCGATTGATTTGATTTTGTTGGTTTGATGGGTTTGATTGATTTGATTGAGTCGCATTGGCACGAAAAGTCCATCGCCCTCCCCCCCCCCCCGACCCTCCCAGACAGGTTATAAGAAGGTTCCTTCAGAACCTCTGATAGGGGGCAAAGGTAGGTAGTCAAGGGTCCCCATGATCCAATTCACCAACTGGTTGTTTGAGCTACCACGCCTGTCCTTTGTGTGCGATTTGTTGCGTCAGAATTCTGCGCGTGGGATTTTGTTCGATCGCCAGCATTCTTGTTTGGTGACAAGCCAAAAAAAACATGAACTCGAGGTCACGCAGGTTTGGGGTTGGAAAAAAGTGGCCCTCCCAATTTGTCAGCCGAGGGCCTTTCATTGCAAGCTTTGCGGGCACTGCGTGCAGCGCCTGGATCATCATTGCCCGGCAGCTCGGGGTTCGCGGATCGAAGCCCCGGGCGCTTAGCTGCGCTCGAAATGTACTTTGGTTGCACATGGTTGTGCACATGTTTTTCATTTTTTTTTGGCGCTCCTCAATTTGGGGCAAAACAACAAGCTCACCTGATGAAGGTCGAGTAAACTGGGGGATTCCTTGTTTCAGGTTGTGGAATTAATTTTGCAAGGGTCTGGGATATTTCCTGAATATCACATAGATTGGGAATCAGGCGTGGCATAGTCAATCCAGAGTTTCGATCGGATTTCAATTTTGGTTGGCTTAGCCTATGAGCTGAGCCCTCGTACAGCTTCAAGATATGTTTCGCTTATTCTACGAGTGCCAAGAAACCGACCGAACAGGTTGGCCGTTCTGGTGGCATGGTTTCACCTGGTGCATCCAAGCACTGGCCTGAAACGTGCAGCGTGGGCAAACTGCTTCATTTGGGCGGATTGTAAGTGGTAGGGAAACAGCGGGGGCCCCCCCACCAAGGAATGGCTCTTGGAACCTTTTGATTTTTACCTGGTGGCCACTGGGGCCCTATAGCCCTAAGAGGGTAGAGTCAAAAGGCAGGTGATTGGAATCCTGAGTGCTGACTGCTTAAGTACCGCAGCCTTGATGTTGCACAAATAGAGATAGCAGATTGCTGCTGCGATCCCACTGCATTGTTTGGATATGCTAACTCTATGTGTTTCAGTCTATGTATACTCATTGTCTCAAGATTGCGCAGCTCCTGAAGCACATGCCACACATTGTTTTTGTTTATCTCGGCCATGCGATCATATGTCAAGGCCGGTGAGTATAGGGCATGTACTTGCCAATGCTATAATTGAAGTGATGCTTCTTGGCGAGGCTGCAACTACACCTAGTGCAGCAACTTGTTGTCGTGTTGATTTGTTGGATTCGGCAAGATGGAATGTGAAGTATACTTGGTACTTTTTTATGACTCTTTGCGCCCCCTAGCAAAGGCCCCAGACAGGATCCTACTAGAAGTTGTCATACGTTTCTTTGGGGGGCGACAAACAATCTGACCCATTTTGCTCGGGCACACAAACGCTGTGAACCTCTTGCGGAGAGACCTTGCCCAAAACTTTGCATGCTGTTTCCGCCAAGTTGAGATCACTTTCATATCGATGAGCCCATCAGATGTGCAAATGGAGCGCTAACTTGATTTTCTTGACTCCTGGCTTTGGGTTGCTTTCCCTCTCATGGCAGTTTTGGCTGTGCTTTCTTAACCCACCTGGGCAAGGGCTTTGTCCCACTCAACTTCAGAATTCGGTTTCCTTTTCTCTCTTCGATATTTTGGAGGCTTCCAAAACCACACACACACACACACACACACCCAGGCCCGTGGATGGATCGGTGCATCGGTCTTCAGAATCAGAGGCGGGGCGATTCAGCGATTCGGTTGAACGGGACGTCAGGCCCCAACTCACCAAACCCGCGAGTTTCATCGAAGTACTTGCCATGCCCGTGTTTCTCAGAACAGACCACCAAACTTGGGAATAGTGTCCATTTGTTTTCCCTTTAGAACCCTCCAAAAGATGCTTATTTAGCTACCATTTGGAGGGGTCCATCCGTGTTTTTGATACGCCAACTATCTCATGGTTGCTTAGCTGAAGCAATCCGGTCTGTTTGGTCCTACACGAGGTCACCTTGGTTCATGATCATCAGGTTGTTGAAAGAGTTGTTCCGACCAAACGTGTGCAGGGTGAAACCAGATGGGCAAAACAAGAAACAACCCACAACAACTAAGGAGCAGGCCACTCAAGGTTATCATGATGTCCGGTCATCAATGGAGTGCCTTGGCCCAGAATCACCCAATTGCATTTATAAAGTTTGGGTTACACACCAAATGTCCATCACCACATGTCCATGACATGTTTGTTGGGGTTCCCAATGAGTATTGACCGTGGCAGGTGAATACTACACTCAATCTGTGGTCAAAACTGCTTCCATGGGTTTACGCCTGATATGTCTGGGTCTTAGACCACCAGCGCCTATGTCTTTACTGGCCGGCGTGTCAGCTACCCCTCGGAACCGTCGGTTGTCCCAGCACGTCCTGAGTGGTGAAAAGATGGGGTTTTACAATGTGCCTTAGAGCGCTGAGTTGTTTGTGCTCGGGAAGTGCTGGGAAATCCGATGGCTGAGTGGGCAAGGAGCTTCACCTGCGCGCAACATTTGAGAGGTCCTTTTACATCTTCCTACTGCTGCTGGCCTTTGTGATGTTCCTCTTCATGCAGCTCGCTGTGGACTTCCTTCAGAAGGTCCACCGGGGACGCGTGCAAGTTGCGAATGGGGATTTGGAAGTATTGTAATGGCATTCTCCATTATAAGTCCCTTGCTTTTGGGCAATGTGTCTTGGTCCGCTCGGAGTTAAGTTTCACAGAGAAGCCAAAAGCAAACTTACCATTTGGGGACTCATTCCCCAGATAGCTGAAAGCTACAGACGTTCTAACTTCCAACAAAGAGGGAAAGTGATTTGCGAGATTGATGGCTGGGTGCGAATTAGGGGGCATGCAGTTTGGGGTGTTTGGGGTGCTAGTGCATGTGTTGTCTTGGGGTGCTGGTGGCGGTGCAGGCGCATTTTTGCGAGATTGACGACAGTGTGTTACGAGGCATGCAATTTTGGGTTGCCGGAGCAGGTCCTGCTCTTGGTGCTGTTTGAGGTGCTGGAGACACGTTTTTGCGAGTTTGACGGCCTGGTGCTGGGGGGCATGCAGTTTGGGGGTGACGGTGAGGGCGCATTTTTGCGAGATTGATGGGCACGGTGCTGGGAGCATGCAGTTTGGGGTGCTGGCGCAGGTGTGCTTTGGTGGTGTTTGCTGGTGACGCTGCGGGCGCATTTTTGCTGGATTGGCGGCCTGCTGTGTAGGGTGTTGTTCGAGGTGTTGTTGGATGATGGTGACGGTACAGGCACGTTTTTGCGTGATTGACAGTAGGGCTGAGGGGCAGGGTGGTTCTTCGCTATCTGGGGTCTATGTTGGTGTAATAGTTTTCTTTTGAGCTAATATTGCAACTGCACCTGTCTGAATCCTGGGGTTATTGACCCGTCAAACAAATTTGCATTGCATTGCTGTAGCGCTCTGGAAGCTGTCGCGCCCTTACACCGCGTCGCATTTCATTGACCCGCGACTAGGCTCAAGGGTCTTCAGTCATTGCTTCTTTTGCATAGATGCAGGGATGCGGTGTCGAATCTGGCCCACTTGGTGGGCATCCAGGCTGCGGCGGAGGATACACGCCTAGCTGCAGCTCTGGCGGGGGCCAAGGCGCTTGCAACGCGTGCGGTAGCGGCGGTGGCTATGGCGCTTGTACCAGTGGCTGCGGCGGTTGCTGCGGCGGTGGCTGCGGCGGCTGCTGTGGCGGCTGCTGTGGCGGCTGCGGTGCCTGCGGCTGCGGTGCCTGTGGCGGCTGCGGGTGCGGCTATGGCGGCTGCGGCGGCGGCTGCGGCGGCTGCGGCTGCCGAGGTTGCGGCTGTGGAGGTTGCGGCTGCGGATGCGGTGCGTGCGGCTGCAACGGCAGCGCAGGCGGAAGAGGTGGCTGCAACTTGCCGAGCGCATTTCTGGCGGGCGCCTTCAAAACATCGCCGAAGCCCGCGCCGCCAGGGCCCTTGGGCGTGCCTCCGGGCGCCGGTTCTGTGGCGAACAAGGCCAAGGCAAAGGAGGATCTGCCGACGAGCTCCGAGGTCAAAGTCTGCGAGAAGACGGATGACGGAAGCTTCATAGATAGTAAATGTATGTTGTTTCGTTAGTCCTTTGCCTCATGACACCAAAAGACAAGTCCTGTTTGTTCTAGCCTGTTATTCCTGTCAGGTCTGCCCCTGACTCGAGGACAATGAAAACCAAGTAGCCAATTTCCCGTTGTATGTCTGCGTTACAGTTCTCAAGGCAACTTGATTCGTTGCCTATTCTGCCTACTCTGCAAATTGACACGGAACCCCGCAATTTTCCTCTAGAGATTCCTCTAAACATTGTGTTCTTGTTGGGTTTCATGGTCTGCTCCTGCATGGACTGGTTTACCAGCCATCCACTTTGTCCCTCAAATCGATAAGTTCTCAGACTTTTACTCTTTGAGGGTTGTTTTATCTTGAACCTGCCGTTTAGCCTCAGAACGTTTTGTCGGATACCTTTTCGGGCCCAGGGCAAGTCCTGAGCTTGGACGAGATGATCAAGCGCGCAGGGGAGAAGGTGAAGAAAGCCGGCGGCTTGCAGGCCATCGGCTACGGGGCCACCAGAGGTCGACCCTACCAGCCGGGGAGGCCATCTACTCACGATGTGATCGCGCATCCCTACAAGAAGCCGGAGAAGGCCCGGGAAGTGCAGCTAGGTCCCCCCGAAATGGGGGTGCCCTTTCTCACCCGCTTCTTTTTTGGTTGGGAGGGGTCCCCTAAAATGGACCACAGATACAGGGTGCCCTTATTCTAACCCCTCTACTGGATACTGGAAGACTTAGGCAAACTCAGACACGAAACCCGCGAAAAGAACACTTGCCAAAGCGGAGATTCTAGTGTGAGCAGAGAACCGCAAGCAATTGATCCAGCTGAAAACCGCTGTTGTGACATGGTAATTGAGTGATTTGTGGGCACTGATCTGGCAACAGCTCACATGAGGGGTAAAAGAACCTCACCATGATGTAGGTCCTTTGCTTGAGCTTATTTATGGCACAAATGGCAAATTCTTATTAGAGGGGACCTCGACTCACCTTATCCTTTTCATCGCCTTTTCGTTGTCCTCAACCTGCAGATTCATGGGTTCCATGGCGACACCTTACACCACTCCCAGGAGGAGGACGAGGGCGCTGGCGCGAACGCGAGCGGCGAAGGCCGCTACAGCGGAGGCATGGGCAGCATGGGCCAGCTCTACTGATTCGGACCGCGGGCGAGTTTGCGGAGCATCATGCTTCACAGCTTCACTTCTTTGTGTGCCAGCCTTGAGGGAACCTTTCGCATCGTTGGAACCAAGCTGAAGTTAGCATCACACCACTTCTCTTGCTGTTTCAAGGAATGCCATCTGTCAAGGTCTTTTCGCCCGGCTGACGCTTCAAGCATCTTCGGCCATACCGCAGTTAAGTCGACAGCAAGAGTTGCGGTAAGTGAACCTCAATTGGTGCCAGAGAACAGAGCTATTTGGTTGGAGCCATTAGCAACCTGCGCTCAAGAGCGGCTGCAGAGGCAACACGCCTCCAACACAAAGAGCAGTGAAATATGATGAGCGGAGACTGCCTTGTTTGGGCCCTTCCACTATGCGTTTTTGCGTAAGGCTGTATGACATGGCCGCGCAAAATCTATGTAATTGGAATGAAGCTTGAGACTCATAGGCACATGGAACCCGCCAGAAGGCAAGATCACCTTCCAGAGACCCTCAGTCAGGTTTCATAGTGGGAAGGTATCTTGTTTCGAGGCTCGCTTTGTCTTTGCATGCTGGGGTGCAGACCTTTTGAAGTGGCACGCCTAGGTGGTGCAAGCCCGGTCGATGCTTGGCAAACGGTGGTTCCGAGAATGAAGAATGTCCAAAGGGGTGGACCCCCCGAACAATGACGATGAGATCTTGTTCGTATCATTTGAAAGCGACATGAAGTAACCCTGCCATCTTGTGTGATGAAACTTCATTTGGGAAGGGCATCCTAAAAAATAAAGGAAGGCCTTTCACAAGAGATGCCAGTATGAAGTAACCAACTGCTGCGTGTTGGTTCGATGAGTCCTTGCTGCTTGCTGTTTGCAGGGGCGTACAACAGCATGACTCAGCGCTGTTTAAGGTCTGAGAATCCGTATCCAAGCAGGAAGCAGGCATTTGCCCAGTTTAGCACAGGCTGGACTTTTTGTTGCCATTGGGACTGCGCTTTGGACTAGTGTGTGCCTGCCAATGCTGGCTGACGTCAAGAAACTGAAGTTGGCTGTTGATTTGCGTTGAGTATGACAGCTGACAGCCCCTGGTCACCCCTGCTTTTTGGTGCACAGCCCCTGGCCAGTTTGTGTGCCATGGTCAAAGCACGCCTTTACTTGGTGGTAAGGATGGTTTTCAGCTGCAACGAATCAGGAGCGTAGTCAATTTATGTCATGGCTCCCATCAGAGTCATGGCCATGGGCCACAGATTCAGAGTCTCGGCAATGGCATAAACAAGTCACTACGTGTGAGTTCTCTGCTGTGCTCTCTAACTCATTCCAAACAAGCTCCCCAGCTTTGATGCTTTCTCTTTAGTGGCATCGTGTCCATTTGTGGCTCCCACTACAAATGAGCAAGCCAGGGTGTGCTAAGATTATTTTCCCGATCATTTCAGGACTCTTTCTTTCCAGAAAGCCATTGGAGTTCTGCGAAAACGAGAGGCAGATGGCAAGAATCGGCCTGGGAAACGAGAAGTGGATGCAAGAGCCATGGTTGAACAGGTGTTTTTTTTCACGCAGGACTCGGCTAGCCGAAACATACGTAGCAGCAAAGAAGCATTGAGTGTAACCATTTGGGAGTGTCTTTGTTTTGGGGAACCCCCTTTCTGGTTGGGGATTCAAAGAGAGACAAACAGGGAAGCCACACCATTTTCGAGGTCAACCCTCTTTTGGTTGGCATTCAAAGAGAGACAAAAAGGGAGCCGAACCATTTTCCCGCTTTTTGTTGGCATTTAACAGGGGACAAAAACCAAACCAAACCATGTTGGAGGTCCCGTTTTTGAAGACACACCCAGTTGCCCCCTATCGCCTTCATAGCTGGGGTGCGTTGCGCCCAGCGAGAGGCTTCACTGGGCAGCTCACTGGTCCTGGCCTCGTCCGTCCGTTCGAATCCGTTTTGCCCGGGGCGAAACTGTTAGATAATTCCTGGAGTCTCCATGACCCTTTAAGACTGGGTCCATGACCCATTTTGGGTAATGACCCAATTTTTCAGGGTCAGGGAGACTCCAGGTATGAGGGAATCTGGGTTGATAGCAACGAGAACGTCACAGAGTTTGGTTTGTTTGTGGTTGCCACTATAGTCATGGTGTGTTCGAGTGCACGTAAGCAAAAACAACGTTTCGTCCTTGATTGTTTGGCGAGCAGATGCTGGGCTGGTGCAGTTGGCTCTCGAGTTGTTCTGGTCTTCGTCCAACGTCCGTAAACGCCCGCCACTCATCAAGCCATACAGGTGGTGTTACCTCGCCAACATTGAAACCTGACAGAAGATTTCCGTTAGCAAAATCCGATTTATCTCGGGGAACTGTTGCCAAAGGTACGGCTGCCATCAGCGAATTGCTTCCCAAGATTCTCATTGAAATAGAGCAAAGGGTCCGCTTGCTGCAAAGTAGTCCGATTCAATCATGCCAACTGCCAGTGTCTCCCATCAAAAGCCTCCATGATGCGAATGTCAATTTCGCACCCTTCTGGAGCAAATCGCCCTTCCTTGCTATATTGGTATGGGTCAAAATTCAATCAATCCGCGAGGGAACCTGATATTCTAATAATTTAAACTCCGTGTTTCCATTTACCGAGCGGGTTCCATGTTGGGGTGACCCTCTTTTTGACCCACAGAAAATCAAACCGTCAGGGAACCTGATTGTTTAAACTCCATGTTTCCATTTACGGACCGGGTTCCTTGGGGTGACACATCCACATCCCCCAGGAACCGAAGGAGCGCTTCGAACTCCACGCCTAGCACCGCCCAGGGCGTGGTGGCGGTGCTGGCCTGCGATGGCCCGGCGATGTTCTTCGTGGCGGCGCGGTTCGTGAGCGCTTCGCCAGCGAAAACTCATGGCTTAAGCATGGGCCTCTGTTCAGGTACCCCTTTTTTTTTCAGGTACCCCTTATTTTTCTGGGCCATATACTTGTTTTTGTTCAACTCACATGGGTATGGCTCAAAATTCAAGACCTAGGGTTACGCAGGCTTTGGTCTTTGGTTCCATTTACCATGCCATTTTGGTACATTTATTTGAGCCACAGCCAGATATAGCGAAGCACGGGCCTCGTCTTTTTTTGTTTACCCCTTTTCACTTTGGTTTAAAGGACATTTCCCAAGAAGAATTCATACACTTTGGGAGCCCCGAGTTTGAAGTTTGACGCAAACCCTCATGTTACATAGGAACACCCTCCCAAATGGTTGGGGGTCGATGTCCGCCAGACAGTGTCCACCAGACGGTGCCTGGGTTGCAGGCGCTCCTGCTGCGCCAAACCGCAGGGCACCCAGAGCTTCTTCGCCGGCATGCGAGTCGTACCCGGAGGTCAGATGTGGCTGTGGGTCAAAATGAACCACCAGGGGACCGCAGGTTTTTTAGTCCATGTTTCCATTTACCAGCGTTGCATTCTGGGTAACTATTTTTGACCCACACCCATGTGTTCCAAACAAGGATATGGGTCGGTTTCTCTTTTGGAGGGTACCCATTTTGCGATTTGTTTAAAGCGAAACCAAAGGGAATATGCTTGATAGAAATTGGTCCTGCTTTTGTTAACGTGTTTTCTTGGCGTTCGGCTAAGCAGGGCTTTTGCGACTATCCCAAGCCAGCACCGAACCTACCAAGGAAGATGACAAGGGGATTCGGGGAGCAGGACGCAGAAATTCGACAGGCCAAGGCGAAGGAAAAAGGCAAATTGTGTTTCTATTATTTCTTTATTTTTCTCCCGTTTGTTCTCTTTCTCTTTCGCTTTCTTTCCTCCGAAGATTACCAGACCCTCGAATCATCACAGAAGTCTGACAAAATCCAGCCCCACCGCTACTTTTGCTATGACGATCCATGCCCTTGCAGCCGGTTGCTAGAGCTGGGTGCTTCCGAGATACACCGTGGCAAGTAAAGTTGCAAAGCTGGGTCAGGTCAAATCCTACAAGTTGACGAAATGAGATCTGACAGAACTATGTTTGAACGGAGATTGGGCATGCGCTGTAGACAGTTTTGGAGAGTCAACTCCAGAGTGGAGCAAAACCTCAGAATCCAAACGTGAAATGTGGTGACACCAGAACACGTCTGATCAACCCCTGTAGTGTGTGGGTATGTGTGCGCGCATCCGTGTGAGAAAGAGAGAGGGAGAGGCACACACACACGGACACGGAAAGATAGAGGGAGAGAGAGAGAGCGAGTTGGCCAGGGGCAGAGAGAGAACAGAGAGAGAGAGGGAAACAAACACCAAACAAAACACAACACAACAGCAATCAAACAAGACAACACATACCAAAGCGAAACAACATAACTCACAACACAACAATGTAAGCACAAGCACAACCAGTAAATGGGCAAGAAGTACCATCATGAAGAAAACTCGCAAGAAAGACGGAAACAAAGACAGAACGAAAATGAGAAACAGTCAAGTAAACGAGGAAACAGAAAGACATTAATAAATCAGACACACAACAGTTGAACAAAGACAGAAACAAATGAATCAACAAAGAAATAAGCAAACACATATCGAATGAGTAAAGAGTTAACGAAATGAAAACAAAAACATTAACACATTTTGAATAAACGCATTAAACACAAGTCTACATATAGAAACATGTATCAAGACACCCGCACGAAAATAACTACATAAAGAACAAACACAGCAGACAACACGACAGACGCACATACAGAATCGTCTCTACGTGAATATCAAAACATAACACCTACTACGACATAGTGATATAAGGAAAGACAAAGAAAATCAACAAACTCAATGACTACGTAAAGAACGACATAAAATATGAGCAAAGGACAGTACCGACAGAAAACAAGGAAGAAAGAGAGAAGCAAGATGCCTAGGCCTACATGGTGGCCAACGTGACCACCTATGAGATCCTCGTTTGCCCTCCTCACATTTCCAAGCGGTTCCCCAGGCAGGGCCCGCGTTTGCCGATTGGCCTATGAGGGGCATGTGTGTTGGAATTCGACTAGACCACCCTATCATGTCCATCTGTACTTGTTCTATATCCAGGGATCCTTGTGTAAAAATAGCAGACCAAGAGAGTGGTTGGAGCAAAGCAAGTGAAACGTGACTAAATCAGTAATTACATACATCATTGTGTTATGATCGTGGCGCAATTCGGTTGACTGGCACCCCACAACTCTATTCTGGTTGTTTAGGCCCTTGTAGTAGGCTAGACTGTTCTGGGTGGATCTGAACTTTACCCAGCAACTGTGGAAGCTGCGTCGTTTATGGGAATTCGTTTGGGGCTTCCCCCCACAGAGATTCGATGAGAAAGTCGTGGATGCAAGCGTGCTTGTGAGCCGCCAATTACATTGCTGAACACACTTTTGCCTGGACAAATCACAGCGCGCTGAGAAGAGAGTTAGGTGTCTTTCATGAGGAACCCCATGTGTAGGTAGCAGCGTTGAGGAACCTCACCCGGACCTTGGTTTTTCGATAGCTTTTGAGAAGCTCCACTTCGGTAGCCTCGCGCAGACAGCGAAGTTGTTTGTGTAGCGCCGGTTTGTCGCCTGGTAAAGGACAACCCCACTTGGCAGATTGCAGCAAAGGGCATGTTGGAAGTCAGACAGGGCCTGATTGCTCCTAATAAAGAATGCGCTTAAGTGTTCAAAGTTGAGCAACGGTTGAAAAGGGCGTCAGCCAGCGACAAGCAACACACTTACACGATGTTCTCAATTCGGCTTACAAGACGGCGGGCATTGTCAAGGACAAGTATGTTGCTACACCCACCCCCCACCCCCCCCCCAACCCCACCCCGAGGTTTTGGAGACCCAAGTACTGCTTGACAAACAACCTGAAACACCGGGCTGGCGTGGCCTGACC